AAAAAAAAAAAAAAAAAAAAAAAAAAAATCAGGTTAAAATATATGAAAAAAGGGGAAAAAAAATTAGAGGATGAGTGCTTCCAATTCATTAGCAAACATATGGATAATGCAATAAGCAGTTTAGAATTTTACCTTTTTTGCCAAGTCACAATAGACATTCCCTATGTCATTTGTTGGATAAGTTATCCTACACCTGCCACAACAGTAGTGTTAAAATGCTAACCTTGCCCGGTAATTACGGCATGCGAATAGGGGATATGCATCTGGGTATGACAAAATCGAATATTAATGATGTCTAAGCTCTACTTAATTATACCCCGGCAAGGGAAGGACAATATCGTCAATGGTATACTTTTCCGCAACTATATCCTCCTCACATATGACCTGTTCATAAGGATTATTACCTCTGTGATGATCATATTACACCGTACGTACACACGCACACATAAAATAAGCTCCAAAAGATATTACCTTAACAGACATGTTTCTTGCTTCAGGAAAATCGGTGACAGGTACATCATCCAGATCGCAATCAACATTTGCTTCATTGCTACTGCCATCTTCCAACTCTGAATGAGAGGATACAGCTTCTTTATTAATCTCTTGTCCTCTACAGTAAACCAGATCCCCCGACACAACCTGGTGGGCCCCTACATAATTATTTGAGAGCACCAGAAGAACACAGTCAAATATCATGTGAACTTATCATCATAACGACTACTAACATCCAGAAAAAGGAAATCAATCAATCAATCACAAGAAAAAATTGATTTGTGAAACTATGTTTGATTTACTTTATTTATTGTGTTTCTTAAACTAAGAAAGGAACGAGCATTGTCCAGAAATTTCCTGATATGTAAGTAAGATTTGATCATATGTGCTTTTGTCCCAACTTTTTTTGTACTTCCTAATTCCTCCATTGACGAATCCAGGAATTGGCTGTAACGCCGTCATCTCCAACTTTATCCTCATCACAATGAGCAATTGTAAACAAAATGACAACATTTGGGTAAATTAAATTAACACTTAGCAAAACAAAATTAGTTTGGTTCCTTTTCAGTTTCTAGCATTTCTACTGAGTTCAAATTAAGGTTTTCATCAAAAATGAAAATTTGTATGGATCAACAATTTAAAACATGCCATGAAGGCTACATACCATATTTTTGTATTCTCATACTTGCTGCGTGGTTCCATAAATAGCTTTGATAACTATGCACAAACCTGAAGTTCGAAAATGCATTAAATTCTTAGAGTACAGATTTAAGATTATAAATTCCAAAGGCAAACAATTCAACAAATGCTTATACAAGAACTCGTTCATATTCTCCTATCCATTTCATGCATCTTCATTTACAAAAAGACAAACAAATAAATCCAGGTGCAGTTCAACCACCAGCTTTCAGCAGTTTTCAATTGGTTTTGACAGCATTAAAATACTCTAATAATGCACCGGGTAATAGATAATAAACCATAACTGTGAAAAATGCAAAAAACACATAATTACAAAAGATTTTTTTAAGTTGGTTATCAATACTTACATCATTCTTAGTGTCCTCGGTATAGCCAACAGAGCTTGTAGGTAATTTCCAGGACATTTTTTAAGACAATGCAGCTGATAGAAAAAATAAAATAAAATAAAACAAGCAACAGAAAAAATCCATTAAAAAGATTAAAACTATGCACATGGAAAATTATAAAATCAACTGAACATTTTGGAACAAGAATTTGAGAAATGTTGCAGATATTAATGAGACTACTGATAATACATTAACACAGCTTAAGTTGTTGCTTCCATCATTTGAAGTTTAACCATTTAGATGAGTGAAGTATACATTATTTTCACCCGAGGCACACTGGGAAATTATGAAAATCTTCTCTACTAAAAGGCAATATGACTTTTGACTGCATGATAAGAGTATTGACTAGTAGTTAATGACATATAATGGGAAATGCAAGAATGAGCAATAACAAGACTAACAATAGAACGTTCTGCAACCATATGGCGAGGCAACTGTCTTAGAGTTTCCTCGATGTCACCACTCTCCTTGTAATACTCCCTTATCGTTCTTGTCACATCCTTTTGTACAACATAGTCAAGATAAAACATGAATATAGCACAGGTTTTTGCAGTTCTTGTTCAAAAATATCTAAAAAGTTCGAAAATGAAAAGGATATCTCCTTCACGTGGATCAAGAATCATGCTAACAGCAGCTTTCCATTCTCCACGTAGTAATGCAGCTCCAATGAGATGAGTTGGTACAGAACTGCTTCCAAACCTCTGAGACCATCACTTCTTATGAGTTTGTCTTAAA